ACAGTGAGGCAGGGGGAGGGTGGGAGGAGACAACATGTTAATGTTCTCTGGCTCAGGAAATTTAATTCAGGAGGGAAATAAAGTGAAATTTGTCTCCATTCTGTTGAAGCCAGAGAATAGGACTTGGTATGTCTGTTCCCATACCAGGAATATTACTGATGAACACTTCATATTACAATTGATAGCCAGCAGCAAGGTAACTAGAATGAGTTTAATGCTCTTCTTTCACACAGTTGTGATTATCTTAATAGTAAACACTTGTCAAGAAAGCCATCCCCGCCGGATTCTGTCCCGGTTGCTCCTCTTCCAGTCCAGCTCTCTGCTGTGGCCCGGGAAGGCAGTGGAGGATGGCCCAAGTGCTTGGGCCCTGCACTCGCATGGGAGACCAGGAGGAAGCACCTGGCTCTTGGCTTTGGATCAGTGCAGCGCCGGCCATAGCAGCCATTTGGGGGATGAACCAACGGAAGGAAGATCTTTCTGTCTCTCTCTCTCTCACTGTCTAACTCTGCCTGTCAAAAAAAGAAAGAAAAAAAAGAAAAAAGCCATCCCTAAAAGTGCAAGTCTCCCCAGATGCAGGAAAACGGTTCCTGTATCATGATTAACAGCTGCCTAGAAGCAGGGCTGCTAACGCTCGGCCACTGTAAATAGATTTCTCCTCCCTCCTTCCCCACAGCCCCACCCACCTCCAGAGAAAACCTTATCTGTTGATATGAACCCCTACCATACAGAAATGCTACTTAAGTCATCCCTTCCAGTGGGGTGGAAACCACCAAAATAAGAGCTAGACCCTTAGAAGCACCAGCTAGAGCCATGAAACACAGTTATCCTCATCAGAAAGCTGAAGGACAGAAGAGAAGTGATAATCTGGACCCCACATCATGACACAACCCTGCCTTATCCCTTCCATTGGGGTTGCCTGGCACCCAGGATAAAGCCTATGCAGATCACCCTGGTTCTGAAAGCTCCCAGCACCTGGCCTGCTTCACCTTATCTCCTGACAATGAAATTAAGAAGTACCTCACCACATACCAACTGTTATTAATTACTGCAGGATTGTCTACTCATTCCACAGACTGAGAATCAACTTCCTGAGTTCAAATTCTAGATAGCTACGTGATGCTGGAAAATCATATCAACTATGTCTAATTTAATTTTCTGTAAAAGGGACATACTGACAGATTAGTTTTTACCTCCAGATATGTATAGGAATTAAATATAATATTCTTTAAACAGCTGCAAGCACACAGTAGGCTGTTTTTTATCATGTATATATAAATAAGTGTTTTTTGCTAAACTGCTCTTTAACTTTCACTAAATTCTCAGATATTGGCTATTTTCTATTTAACTGTCTTCCAGTTCACTGAATTCCTTGTGCCTATTCTGCTAATTCTAATCTACTGAATACTTAATTTTAGTTATTTTCTACCCTGTAATTTCCATTTCATTCATTTTCAGATTTGTAATTCACAGGTGAAATTCTCAAGTACAAAAAAATCCATCTTTGCCATATCCTTTAGTTCTTGAACATGTTAGATATAAATTATAAGGATTTTTAAAAATTTTATTTATTTATTTGAGAGATACAGTTACAAAGCAAGGGAGAGACAGAGAGAAAGGTCTTCCATCCACTGGTTCACTCTCCAAATGGCCACAACAGCTGAAGCTGGACCGATTGAAGCCAGGATCCAGGAGCTTCTTCCAGTCTCCCACTGGCGTGCAAGGGCCCAAGCACTTAGGCCATCCTCCACTGCTTTCCCAAGCCATAGCAGAGAGCTGGATCGAAAGAGGAGCAGCTGGGACTAGAACCGGTGCCCATATGGGATGCCAGCACTGCAGGCAGAGGCTTAACCTAGTATGCCACAGCACTGGTCCTGCTTATAAGAATATAAGTAGTTAATTCCAACATCTAGATCAACTTTGGATCTATTTCTGTTGTGCGGTGTTCTGTCATTATTAGTTATTTGGTTGCAATTCTCATCATGCCATAATTTGATAGAATGAACAACATTATTTATGACAACTACAACAGGCTTCAAATGATGTTAACTGGGGTCAGTGCTATGGTGTAGTGGGTTAAGTTGCTGTCTGCAGCACTGGCATCCCATATGGGAGTCAGTTCAAGTCCCAGGAGCTCCACTTCTGATCCAGCTCCCAGCTAACATGCCTGGGAAAGTACTGGAACACAGTCTAAGTGCTTGAGTCCCTGCACCCAAGTGGGAGACTCAGATGGAGCTCCTGGTTCCTGGCTTCAACCTGGCCCAGCCTGGCTGTTGCAGACATTTGGGAATGCACCAGAAGATGGATGATCTCTCTGTCTCTCCCTCTAATTCTGATTTTCAATAAATAAAACTTAAAAAAAAATGATGTTAGGCTCTTGTCTTGAGTTGCCAAGGCTATGGAAGCCTTTTGAGTTCGCCACTTTGATGTTATTTTAGACAAGGTCATAGTCAAAGTGGAAGTTCTCTCCTCCCTTCAGAGAAAGGTACCTCCTTCTTTGATGACCTGTTCTTTCCACTGGGATCTCACTCACAGAGATCTTTCATTTAGTTTTTTTTTTTTTTTTTTCCCCCAGAGTGTCTTGGCTTTCCATGCCTAAAATACTCTCATGGGCTCTCCAGCCAGATCTGAATGCCTTAAGGGCTGATTCTGAGGCCAGAGTACTGTTTAGGACATCTGCCATTCTATGAGTCTGCTGTGTATCCTGCTTCCATGTTGGATCGTTCTCTCCTTTTTAATTCTATCAGTTAGTATTAGCAGACACTAGTCTTGTTTATATGATCCCTTAGACTCTTAATCCTATAATTGCGATCAATTGTGAACTGAAACTGATCACTTTGACTAGTGAGATGGCATTGGTACATGCCACCTTGGTGGGATTTAATTGAAATCCCCTGGCACGTTTCTAACTCTACCGTTTGGGGCAAATCCGATTGAGCATGTCCCAAACTGTACATCTCCTCCTCTCTTATTCCCACTCATATTTATCAGGATCACTTTTTACTTAAATTTAAACACCTAAGAATAATTGTGTGTTAATTAAAGGATGATTACTGACTCCATAAACAAGAGTGTCAATTGTTAAGTCAACAACAGGAGTCACTGTGCACATACCCCCCATGTAGGATCTCTGTCCTTAATGTGTTGTACAATATGAATTAATGTTATAACTAGTACTCAAATAGTATTTTACATTTGTGTTTCTGTGTGGGTGCAAACTGTTGAAATCTTTACTTAATATATACTAAATTGATCTTCTGTATATAAAGAGAATTGAAAAGGAATCTTGATGTGAATGGAATGGGAAACAGAGCAGGAGATGGGAGAGTTGTGAGTGGGAAGGAAGTTATTGGGGGTGGGGGAAGCCACTGTAATTCAAAAGCTGTACTTTGGAAATTTATGTTTATTAAATACAAATTAAAAAAATTTTTTTAATGATGTTAATTACCTCTACTCCAAGAGTTCTCACCTTGTGCAGTAAAAAGGAGCTAGTGTGTGTGCCTGTACACGTAGAGGTGGTTGGGATACTGGTGGGTGACCATCACAGAGACATGGCAGAGGTGTAATTCTGCCCAGGTTCCTGACTAGCGTTTTAGCCTCCCACATTATACAGCTCTGGAATTCGGTGGATGTCCCCATGGGGGATCAGCTCTTCTCATCACCTCTGCCCTCCTGCGATCAAAGCCCTACATTCCAGGACCTTACATTTTGTACTAAGTGAAACACAGCAAGTAAAAGAAGGAGAATGATCACACTTTGAGTACAGTCTTAAAGAATGGGGATCTCAGGGCCAGTATTGCAGCACAACGGATTAAGCTGTGACCTGTCATGCTGGTATTCCCAAATGCGCGCTGGTTTGAGACCTGGCTGCTCCACTTCTGATCCAGCCCCCTGCAAATGCACCTGGGAAAGCAAGAGAAGATGGTCCAAGTGCTTGGGTCCCTAAGCCCATGTGGGAAATGAAGCTCCTGTTTTCAGCCTGGTCCAACCCTGGCTGTTCCAGTCATTTGGGGAGTGAAACCAGCAGATGGAATATCTCTCTGTCTCTCTCCCTCTCTAGTAACTCTGCCTTTCAAATTAATTTAAAAAAAATTATAAAGAATGGGGTTCTCTATTAAGGAAGACATTTTCCACCACTCTCACTCCCTAGTTCCTCACCACTAGTCTTGCTAACTGTATTGCTTTTCCTGACCCACCTCCAGGTAAACTTGGACTTGGCAATTCTGGTGTAAAGGATTTCGACTGAGCAGACTTTCAGAACCACCTTATAGAAACCTAGCAATAGCTTCAGCTGTCCATTCCTTCACTTGTTAATCAAATATTTATTAATATCTACTCTGTGCCAGATCCTCTACTGAGTGCTAGAGTTCCAGAAGAGAACAAAGCAAGGAGGAGGAAAAAAAAAAACTCGGCCCTATAGAACTTATGTTTTAGTGAGTGGAGATCAAAAATAAGTAAGTTAGAGGCCAGCGCTGTGGCATAGCAGGTAAGGCTGCCATCTGCAGTGCTGGCATCCCATACGGGTGCTGGCTTGTATCCTGGCTGCTCCACTTCTAGTCTAGCTCTCTGCTATGGCCTGGGAAAGCAGTAGAAAATGGCCCAAATCCTTGGGCCCCTGCACCCATGTGGGAGACCTGGAAGAGGCTTCTGGCTCTTGGCTGTTGCAGCCAACTGGGGAATGAACCAGTGGATGGAAGACCTCTCCCTGTCTCTCCTTCTCTCTGTAACTTTCAAATAAATAAACAAATCTTTAAAAAAGAAAAAAAGAAGGTAACATGGGTCTTCTACATAATATGAACAATCACACCTGCATTATAGGAGATTTAAAATACACCTTAATTAACATCCTTTATAACCGTGAGAAGCCTCACATTTCCAGACAACATGTGAGACTAAGTTCTAGAAACTTATGAACAAACATTAATTTAGTTTCTTCAAGAAGAATTTATAACTTTATATAAAGTTCTTCAAACATTAAAAAAATTTTTAAAAACAATACTTACCTTGGAATACTTTTGTAACTCAGCATCATCTGCAATCTGTGTATTCAATGTCACAACCTAAATTAAGAAAAAATATTACCAATATTTATAAAAGCATAATTTTATTTCTTCCTAGGTTTTCTGAACATATCTGCCAAACCAATAACTCCATCTGACCTACATTCTAATCTCTTTCCTATATTTCTGAAACCCTAAGTGTAACACATAGTGGAAAATTTCAGACAGTATTGGCTTTCTCTTGTTCTCCATATCAATATTTTCTCCTAAATTATTCAAAAGTTGAACAGAATGTGATGGGTAAATACATCTATATGCTATTTTTAAAAATCCATGACCCCTGGCTGGTGCTGCGGCTCAATAGGCTAATCCTCCGCCTGTGGCGCCGGCACACCAGGTTCTAGTCCTGGTCGCTCCTCTTCCAGGCCAGCTCTCTGCTGTGGCCCAGGAAGGCAGTGGAGGATGGTCCAAGTGCTTGGGCCCTGCACCCCATGGGAGACCAGGAGAAACACCTGGCTCCTGGCTTTGGATCAGCGTGGTGCTCTGGCCACAGCCCGCCGGCCGCGGCGGCCATTGGAGGGTGAACCAACAGCAAAGGAAGACCTTTCTCTCTGTCTCTCTCTCACTGTCCACTCTGCCTGTCAAAAAAATAAATAGAAATAAAAATAAATAAAAATTTTAGTACAATCCTTCATTATATTGAATCTAAAAAAGTATTACTTTTTTGACAAAGCCAAGGGTATGGCCATTTTTACTTTCAATTCAGTCCTTAAAAAAAATTTGCAAGGTCAATAAAATCAGATGACTTTGGGAAAACTGAAGTATTTGACTTTTTACAGCAAGTTCAATCATTTCCCCAGGAGAAGCAGATGGCAAAGTCACAAACAGAAAGACCTCATCCAGGGGCCAGAAATGTGGCATAGCAGGTAATGCTGCAGCCCTGTGACACTTACATCCCATGTCCAGGTTGCTCCACTTCTAATCCAGCTCCCTGCTAATGGCTTGGGAAAAATAGTGGAAGCCCAAGGGTTTGGGTTCCTGCCACCCACATGGGAGACCTGGATGAAGCTCCTGGCTTTGGACTAGTCCAGCGCTGGCCATTGTGACCATCTGGGAAGTGAACCATCAGATGGAAGATCTCTCTGTCTTTCCCACTCTATAACTTTGATTTTTAAATATAAATAAATAATAAATGGAAGGAAGCTTGGGGAGACCCTGTTCCTGATAGGAAGCTCACGGGATACTTGGAGTTTTAATACTGGTCTAAAGCCACTGTTGCAAGCTTCAATGGTAGATACCCACAGACGTGAATTCCTTGCAAACAGAAAGTACTTTATTGATGATTTGCATCTGTGAGTTGTAAATAAATATGGGGCATCTGTAAGCAGGAGTTAAGTTAAACAATCCAACTAAAGATTCTAAAATTACTACATTTCAGAGTAGTAGAACTCGGAAGAAATCGAAGTGAGAAACATTGGAGTTCTCTCTCTCACTCCCTCTCTCTTTTCTCTTTCTCCCTTCCTTCCATCCATCCACTTTGCCTAGATTCTTCTTTCTGCCCCTCATTCCTGAGAACAACTACAAATTTTAATGAGTAAGCTATTACTTTAAATTTCCAATTTCAAATTCTATCTCCTCTTTCTGGCCCCTCTGTTGTGGCCTTACCACACAACAAATCAAGCTGGAAAAGGCGGTTATAGGGAGTATAAGATTTTAACAGAAAAGAGCCCATCACAAAACCGGCTGTTTGTAAATACCGGTATACCAAATTACTTTGAATTTCAAAGCAAGGGTAGAATAAAAGGTCACTTGCTAGGTGACAGCCTAATGATAGTATCTGAAATTTATGAAGCAGAGAAGATGCACTACCTGAGAACCGATATGCAAGTACAAAATTAGCAAGAAGACGAAGTATGAACTGTTCTGTCGAAATTTTCTAACAGATAGTGGCTGGATATTCTAAATCAAGAAGAGAAAAAAATCCAACCAGCTATCAAATACTAATGATAAGCATATATTAACAAAATGTGAATGACAGTAGAAATTTAAAAGAATATTTTACTGCTAATGCACTGGGTGAACACTGTAGAGGCTTTTCTAAGCACAGCTTTCTGCTTTCATGTGGATTCATATGGAGAAATGTAATCGATCCCTTATTTAATGAATTTAATAACAGGTGAAAGGAAGCCAAACGGACCACTGGAACTACAACTTACACCTAACCTAAATAACTTCCTGTTCTTTCAAATACATCTGATAATCATTCTTTCATTTTTCTCATAAAACTGTAAGATTCTCTGTGAAACACAGGACTAATGTCCACAGCCCTTTCAGTGTACAATAAAACAAACAGATCATAAAAGCAATCATAAAAATGCCAGCAATTTTAAGCAGCTGATACAGGTTATAAATTTAAAGGCAAGCCCTCATTCTCCTAACATTTTTTGGCTTATCACTGACTTAAATTGTTTCAACATAAACTGAGTGTCTGCTAATTGTAACTGAACTTTGTGTCCCAGTCTTAATTGTCCTTAAAACTTAAAATACTTTAAAAAGAAGTCAATTGATTGATCCAATAGAGAAGAAGAAATAAAGGCAGGCTGGACATTTTTTGATGCTACCAGTTCTTTAAAATTGTAGCGTTAGGATCTTGACACAAAATGAGATGTAAGTGTTTTTTATTAAAAGATTTTAACATACCATTACTTCATAATCAGGGCCCAGGAGGTTTTCCCATCTGGATTTCAGCTTATTTTCTGGAGAGTCCGTGACTCTTTCTGGATATATACAGATTTAAAAAAAAAAAAAGTTGAGGCTACCGTGAGCCAAAAACATTTAGCTGCTAATTTCTTTTATAACAACAGTTTCAGTAAGTAAAGGAAAATCATTAACTGACATCTACTAGGTAAAGTGACTTACAAGATTATTGTAAAATGTAAAGACCAGTTGGGACTAAATTATGAAGGGGCTTTTTGTTGTTAAGGGATATTTTAAAGGAAGGAGGAAATAACAAACATAACTGTAATTTCAGTTACATACAGCTTACATGTATATATCCTATAGTTTACAAGTAAAACACATCTGGTTTTGCTTTATAATATGCTAGAATGTATAAGGATTTAATGTAAATACTAATCACTTCATCACTTCTCGGCCTTTTATCTAAGATCAAGTGTAATATTAATCTCTTCAAAATAGTACCATTTTATCTATTCATTGGAAAAGTAAAAACTTACCAAGATATCTTTAATATCAAGCAGACATATCAAAACAATAAAATCACACTTTTCATATGAATTACTATAAAGGCTTATCTGAGGGACCAGGGTTTTGGCAAAACAGATTAAAGGCCAGTGCCGTGGCTCAATAGGCTAATCCTCCACCTAGAGGCGCCAGCACACCGGGTTCTAGTCCCAGTCGGGGCACTGGATTCTGTCCCGGTTGCCCCTCTTCCAGGCCAGCTCTCTGCTGTGGCCCGGGAAGGCAGTGGAGGATGGCCCAAGTGCTTGGGCCCTGCACCCCATGGGAGACCAGGAGAAGCACCTGGCTCCTGCCTTCGGATCAGCACGATGCGCCGGCAACAGCGCACTGGCCGCGGCGGCCATTGGAGGGTGAACCAACGGCAAAGGAAGACCTTTGTCTCTCTCTCTCTCACTGTCCAGTTTGCCTGTCAACAAACAAACAAACAAACAAACAGAAAGGATTAAGCCGCTGCCTGTGATGCTGGCATCCCATAGGAGCATCGGTTTGAGTTGACTTTCTCACTGGTTTGCTGCACTTCCTATCCAGCTCCCTGCTAATGCACCTGAGAAGGCAGTGGAAGACAGCTCAAGTACTTAGACCCTGCTTCCCATGTGGAAGATTGGATGGAAGTTCCAGGCTCCTGGTTTCAACTTGGCCGGGTCCCAACCATTGTGGTCATTTGGGAAGTAATCCAATGTGTATGGAAGATATCTCTCCCCCACCCCAACTCTGCCTTTCAAATAGACAAAATAAACCTTTAGAAAAAAGTTATCTTGTTTAATTTGACCAGAGTTTCAAGGGCTTTTGCATAAAATAAACTTTGCATTCATACCAGTTTTTTGTTGCTTCTTGGCTATTAGAATACTTGGAATTTTTATGATGTTCTTACTTGAGTGTAATATTGGCTTTATTGGACAGATGATTTAAAGAGTTAAAACAGATTTTAAAATGTCTTGCCTATCCTCTATATGATCTTAATCAGAATCTCAGTACATAGTTTGTAGTCTGAATAATGTCTAATGGGTAAAAGTCAAAGTATTAACACTATAACTTCAAATTATATCCATAGTAGCAGCAGGAAATAAACTTACATATTTTTCCTTTAAGTTAAAGAGAAACTGAACTTTCTAAGATTGGACAAACCACAGAACACTTACCATGACTGACATAACCATCTGCCTAAAATCAAAAAAAACTTGCAATATCAGCTTTTATTCTTCGACACAGACGGCTCATTTTGGATGCACATAATGGTTAATTATATAATTTGAATCATTAACTAAAATAGTCTAACCTCAGAAATCAGAGACTAAGACTAATGAACATTAAAGAACTTAAATTATTAGATTTACAAAAGAACATTCTTGAACTAACTATATTAACTGATATGCTAGATTAATTTAGGGAATAACTAACCAAAGATCTTATTAAAAACAAAATAGCAAATGCATTAGAGTTCTGCATCTTTGCACCTATACTCCTGTTAGTATTTCCTTAAGAAATTCTTTGGGATACACTTTCAGCCTTGTGGTAAAGATGCTGGTTACAACACCTGTGCTCCTTATCAGAATGCCTGGCTTTAATACCAGGTTCCAGCTCCTAACTCGTTCCTGCTAATGCAGACCCTAGGAGTCAGAGGTTTTGGCTAAAATAACTGAATTCCTGCCACCCAGGTGGGAGTTCCTGGCTTCTGGCTTTGGCCCATCCTCATCTTGGCTGTTACAGGCAACTGAGAAGTGAACAGTGGATGAATGTAAGCTGTCTCTAAGAAAAATTTCAAAATTAAAAAAAAATTTTCCCAAGAAATTTTTGAGGGTTCTAACATGTTGTTTGTCAAACTTCTTTCAGGCAGCAGTTTCTTGAACAAAATTTGCCTGGTACTGGTTTAATTCTAAGTGTAAAACACATATTAAGGAACAGCACTGTGGCATAGTGGATAAAGACACTGTCTGCAGTGCCAGCATCCTATATGGGCACCAGTTCATGCCCTCGTGGCTTCACTTCCGATCCAGCTCTCTGCTATGGCCTGGAAAAGAAGTAGAAGATGGCCCAAGTCCTTGGGCCCCTGCACCTGTGTGGAAGACCTAGAGGAAGCTCCTGGCCCCTGATCAGCCCAGCTCTAGCCATTGTGGCCATTTGGGGAGTGAACCTTCAAATGGAAAATCTCCTTCTCTCTGCCTCTGCCTCTCCGTAACTCTGCCTTTCAAATAAAAAAAAAAATCCTAAAATAAAAAGCACATATACACACACAAACACACAATAGTCATATACCTGTATAAACTGATAATGGTATTTAGTTGACAATTCTTTTGACTAAATTTTTAACTTCAGTTGTATAATGAAAAGTCATGACTTTTAAAACATTGCACAAAGTCCCAATTGCAGAGATCAATTTACTCTCAATAACTCAATAAATCATAGACTACACAAAATAATCAAAAAAAAATGAATAACATAACTATCCAAATGATTATATCAAAGGCAAGAAAGAGAGCAGTTAGAAGACTGGTTTTAGGCCTGCGCCGTGGCTCACTAGGCTAATCCTCTACCTAGCGGCGCTGGCACACCGGGTTCTAGTCCCGGTTGGGGCGCCGGATTCTGTCCCAGTTGCCCCTCTTCCAGGCCAGCCCTCTGCTGTGGCCAGGGAGTGCAGTGGAGGATGGCCCAGGTGCTTGGGCCCTGCACCCCATGGGAGACAAGGAAAAGCACCTGGCTCCTGGCTCCTGCCATCGGATCAGCATGGTGCACCGGCCGCAGCGCGCCGGCCACGGCGGCCATTGGAGGGTGAACCAACGGCAAAAGAAGACCTTTCTCTCTGTCTCTCTCACTGTCCACTCTGCCTGTCAAAAAAATAAAAAATAAAAAAATAAAAAAATAAAAAAAAGAAGACTGGTTTTAAATTCAAACTGAAATTATACATTAGCACAAAGAAAAAAAAAGTAGTGAAGTTGATCCAAAAAGCACAAATAACATATTTCTAGAACTCTTTCTAAATTAAGAATGTTTTTGATTTTCTCCTGATATTCCACTGAATGTCTGAGTTCAACTGAATTAAAATAGCAAAGATTAATTTTGACCCAATCAACTTGGGTCAAAAGAACTAGATAAATTTTCAAATCATAAAAAAAATTTTAAATACGAATTACTGGTTAACACCCTTCTTCAAGCTATTCTTTCCTGACACAAGACAAAGCCAAAAACCAAAACTGCTCTGGATGATAAATAGTGTTAAGTATCCCAAGAGATTCATTTAGCCGGTGCTCTCCTGAGAACTTTCATGCAGGAAACTCTTTCAGACTATTACTCAGCATCCTTGCAGAACAGAGTTCACTATATTAATTGAGCAGCAAAGTACACGTAAAAGGACAAAGCTGCAAATCAAGTAAAAAGTAAAGAATAATTACACAGCAGCCTAGCAATTTGATGCAAACATATAAAAATGTAAACGTTGTTTATGATGAAAAGCAAATATAGAAGCTATAAACAATGCATATAGATATGCCAGTGATAAATACAAACTAAAATAGAGTAATTAAAAATGCTAAGAAGATTATAGTTATCACAGACTAATAAATATACATTCAAAATTAACATAATTTAAACAAAGATTAAACAAGAATGTGCTTGGTCTCCAACTGCTACAAGTGCTAAGGAGCTGATTTTAAGAACACCATATTAAGGCTGGCACTGTGTCATAGGAAGGTTGGGCCTCCGCCTGCAGTGCTGCTATGCCATGAAGGCACAGGTTTGAGTCCCGGCTGCCCACCTGCAATCCAGCTCCCTGCTAAAGCACTTGCAAAAGCATCAGAAGATGGCCCAAGTTTTTGGGCCCCTGCACCGACATGGGAGACTGGAAGAAACTCCTGGTCCCTGGCTTCGGCCTGGCCCAGAACTGGCCATTGTGGCCATTTGGGAAGTGAATCAGCGCATGCAAGATCAATCTCTCTCTCTCTCTCCCTCTCTCCTCCTCTATCTGTATTTCTGCCTTTCAAATAAATAAATAAATCTTATAAAGAAAAAGAAAAGAACTTTTAAAAAAAGCTATATTTTAGATTTCCAAAATGGTTCTATGATTTGTCATATTAATTATAAACAGAGAAATTGGTTAACAAATGAAAGGTTAAATTACTCCCAAATGAATGCTTTGTGCCTACCCAATTTTTCTAAAGCTTGCATGTTGTCATTTTTTAGATTATCCATTCTTTCTTCAGTTTCCTCATCTTCATCGTCCAAATTAGTTTCTGTTTCCACTGCTCCAGTTAAAAAGAGAGCTGGTGTTTTTGGTGGTTCTACAACACTTCCTAAAATAAAAATTGATAACTTGAATTAATAGTAGCTGAGAACCATATTAAGTGAACTATTTCACTCCTGCCCTCCCATTCCACACCCTCATTACAAGCTCTAAGAAAACTTACCTGAGGCCTTTAATCTAAAATGCCATATGTGATACCAATCAATGTGTTAAATAATAAACTGCTGAATGTACAGAAAATAAGGAAATAGGCAACGGGAAGAAAAAAGCAAGGTAAAGCAGATGACAAAGCAGCAGCAGATACATTTTAAACATAGCCTTCAAAAAGAAAAATTCACTAAGGGTCCTAGGCTTTTGATGTTGTAGTGGGTAGGGAGCATAACACGCAGAATAAGCTGAATGGATTGCACTGGTCTTTCCTAGGTTCCAGCATGACACTAGCGTAAGCATAACAAACAAGTCCACATAGCTAACCTTATTAACTGGAAGAGAACTGGAGAGAGTTCCCTTGGGTGCAGAGGATTTTGCCGACCTTAGCTAAATTAAGTAATGCAAGTAAGATTTATCTGTAGTTTTCTATCTCGGTCATTCAAGTCATAATGTGTTTCTTACCTTAGAAGAGTTAAATAAATCCTCATGGGCTATTTTTAAAATAATCACACGTCATTTATGAAGTATTCTTATAAAAAGTATTTAACCATGACTCTAACGAAAACTTTAGATCTAGCTTCTAATTCACAGGAAACCTAACAGAACAACAAGTTAAGGAACTCCACAAAAAGAATCAAATTTAGAAAGAGGTATTCCAGTGACCAATAAACTAATCCCTTTAAAACATCTATGTTGGTGGGGCCGGCACTGTGGCATAGTGGGTAAAGCTACCACCTGCAGTGCCAGCATCCCATATGGGCAGCAGTTCGAGCCCCAGCTGCTCCACTTCCAATCCAGCTCTCTGCTGTGGCCTGGGAAAGCAGCAGAAGATGGCTCAGGTCCTCAGGGCCCTGTACCTGCTAGGAGACCCAGAAGAAGCTCCTGGATCCTGGCTTCAGATCAGTGCAGCTCCAGCTGTTGCAGCCAGTTGGGGAGTGAACCACTGGATGAAAGACCTCTCTCTCTGCCTCTCCTCTCTGTGTGTAACTCTTTCAAATAAATAAATAAATAAACTTTTTTAAAAAATGACTTACTCATTTAAAAAAATCTATGTTGGGGCCAGTGCTGTGGTGTATCAGGTAAAGCCACCATCTACGATGCTGGCATCCCATATGGACACTGTTCGACTTCCAATTCAGTTCCCTGCTAATGTGCCTGGGAAAGCAGTGGAGGATAGCCCAAGTGCTTTGGCTCCTACACCCACATGGAAGACTCAGAAGAAGCTCCTGGCTCCTAGCTCTGGCCTGGCCCAGCCCTGGACGTAGCAGCCATTTGGGGAGAACCAGCAGATGGAAGATCTCTCTATCTCTGTCTGTCTGTCTAACTCTGCCTTTCAAATAAATACGTAAATTTATTTATTTATATATATATACACATATGTGTGTGTGTGTGTGTATATATATATAAATGGTATATATGGTATAAATGGTATATGGTATAAATCTATACCTATACCATAGGGACAGAGTGAGGGATTCTTCTAGATTAAGAAAGTAAACAATGCTTAACAAATGCCACAAATGCAAGGCATGATTCGATTTTAGTTTGGGGAGGAATAACAAGAGAAGCTATAAAAGATATTTTGAGGAGCTGGCGATGTGGCTTAGTGGGTAAAGCGGACACCTGAGGTACCGGCATCTCATATGGGCACCAGTTCGAGTCCCAGCTGCTCCATTTCCAATCTGGTTCTTTGCTATGGCCTGGGAAAGCAGTAAAAGATGGCCCAAGTTCTCTGACCCCTGCACCCATGTAGGAGACCCAGAGGAAACTCCTGGCTCCTGGCTCCAGATCGGCACAGCTCTGGCTGTTGCAGCCAGTTGAGGAGTGAACCAGAAGATGGAAGACCTCTCTCTCTCTCTCTCTCTCTCCCTCCCTCTCTCTCTCTGCCTCTCCTCTCTCTGTGTAACTCTTTTTTCAAATAAAGAATTAAATCTTTAAACAAAAAAAAAAGGTTTTTTTTGGAGCAGCAATACATTGAATATACAAAAATATATATACTCAGTGCTAGAATAAGAAATGCCAACATTTTCTGTGGCATTATTCACAATAACCAAGAAGTAGAAACAACCTAAATGTATATTTAGAATGAGTGGATAAAGAAATTGTATCATGGGCCCAGTGCTGTGGTGTAGTGGGTTAAGCCTCTGCTTGCTGCACCAGCATCCCATATGGGTGCTGGTTCGAGTCCCAGATGCTCCACTTCCAATACAGCTCCCTGCTGGTGGCCTGGAAAAGCAGTGGAAGATGGTCAAAGTGCTTGGGCCCCTGCACCCATGTAGGAGACCTGGAAGAAGCTCCTGGATCCTAGCTTCAGATCGGCCCAGCTCTAGCCATTGTGGCCATTTGGGTAGTGAACCAGCAGATGGAAGACCTCTCTCTGTTGTCTCTCCTCCACTCTCTGTAACTTTGCCTTTCAAATAAATAAATAAATCTTAAAAAGAAATTTTCCACATACAAATAATGGAATGGTATTCAGTCTTAAAAAAGAAGTAAATCCTGTCATATGCCATAACATAGATGAACTCGGAGGACATCATGCAAAGTGAAATGCACCAGTCACAGGACAAAGACTGCATACTTCCACTTGTATGAGGAATCTAAGCAGCCAAACTCACAGAAACAGGAAGTGTAATGGTGGTTACTAGAGGCTGAGGGAAAGGGAATGCGGAGCTAGGTAAATCAGTGGGCACAGAATTTCAATTGTGCAAGATGAAAAAATTCTAGAGATCTGCTTAAAACAACGTGCATATAGTTAAGGAGACTGTTGTCTACTTAAACATTTGTTGGGAAAGAAGATTTCATGTTAGTTATTTTTTACTATAATTTAAAAAAGTCAACCAGAAGCTACTGGCCCAGCTGGAGAAAAGAGTTACCACCACATTCACTATAAAGCCACAGTCTGATTGTGAGCCACAAACAGCATACATTACAGCATGCAAATAAATATAAGTTTACAAATAGTAGGGGCTTAGAGGGAGAAGAGACAGTAAGAGTTTGAATGGCAGGGGGAGGTAACTTGCAAGAGCTAGAAGCTGTTTCAGTAAAACCAACTTCTAAATGCTGACAGTATGCAAGGCATAAAAAGATGTGTGACATGGGGGCAAGAAGCAAAAAGATAACCGCTCCCCTACATTTTAGTCCTCCACATAAGACAGGTGACTACCACGTAATGTGCTAAATGCTAAAACAGACTACTTTCAAAGGGATGCTTTGGAAAGGGTACTGGGGAACCACAGAACAATCCATGGAGAAAAAGGTGTCAGTACTTATAACAAATCAAAAACATAGGCAGGCGCAGTAAAGAACTGTTAATCCGCAGACATTGGGCATGCCTACATTCATTTGCTACAGTAGACTGAAGCCAAGGGCTCTATAAGGGCTATTAGAAACCATTATATTTATATAAATATTTATGAGAACCTTTTAAGGACAATAAGGCATATGTACAATTTGCACTATTTAAGCAATTTTAAATTTCAGACATACAGTGCAGTTGACAGGGCATCTGTCTTTCAGCAGCAAAATTTCCACTATCACATAAAACATAAAAAGTTCCCATTTAAATACAAATCAATAACAGTTGAATCCAAAGACTACTAGACTTATTATATCTCCAGAGCAATATTTCCGGAGGGGTAAAAAGCTTGACTTATTTTCTCAAAATTCTAACACAAGTGTTCCTGCTCAGAGGTTATATAACAAACTCATTTCAAACTGTACATGTGTTCCCATGATTACCAACTTCTGTTGATCTATACACTTAGAAATTGATAATCAAACATTGGCATGCATACAATTATGTCGTTCTGTAATGAAGATCTACTTTTTTAATAACTACATTAACAACAAATATTATTTTACAATGAAATGCTTTTGATATAAAAAACCCATGTTTTATTTTCTCTCACTACACCTCAAAGTTAAGAGATAGATTTGAATAAAATATATTGTTAAAAGTAATATGAAACCCAAAGTTTGCAAAAATGTCAAAGCATTACAAAAATGAAACCCCTTGGAACAAAAGGCAAAGCAGTATTATTCAAACATAAGCAATAAATGAAATTTGAAAGCTTTTTGGAAAAAATGATTTCATCTCCATTTAGAGAAACTCCTGGAGCTTAGTGTGTATCAGGGTTCTTGTCCTAACATTTGCACTCACACATTATTAATAGCAAAGGAAATGCATCTTTAATGCATAAATGAGCTTACTCATTTCTCCATCACTGCCTTTCACAAAGTAGGAAGGTTTTCCTGCTGAGACTCACACAGCAACTACTAAAACTTGGCTATTCATTTGGCCCAGACTCCACATTGGGAGAAGGATGATAGAATGAATTACCTCTGGGGCTGGCCCTGGCCTGAAGCTCCAGCATCCCATATGGGTGCTGGTTCAAGACCTGGCTGTCCCACTTCTGATCCAGCTCTCTGCTATGGCCTGGGAAAGCAGAAGTTCGTCCAAATCCTTGGGCCCCTGCACCCGCATGGGAGCTCCTGGCTCCTGGCTTTGAACTGGTGCAGCTCTGGCCATTGCGGCCATCTAGGGAGTGAACCAGCGGATGGAAGACCTCTCTCTCTCTGCCTCTCCTCTCTCTGTGTAACTCTGATTTTCAAATAGATAAATAAATCTTTAAAAAAAATGAATTACCTCTGTCTGAAGGGAGTTCAAGCTGATAACCAGATGAGGATGTCTTCCTTCGAGCTAGGGTTAGGTGTACCACCTGTCCTGCATTTCGTAACACTTCAACAACATGCTGGTTGTCAAAACCCTGAATATTCACCCCATTAACCTAAAATATTAAGAAGCAAGTTAAACAAACTTTAAGTTGTCTACTATTTTTAATTCTGGCATGACTGAATGAAACAATTGATTTTATCTCCCAAATAATTTATATAAGATCTTAGTATTTTTAATAAGGATGCAAAACTAATAGTTAAAGAAATTGACAAACTTGCTCACAAACTAGAAAGCAAATTCAAACTTGCATGTCTATATCACATGTTTTAACTAACAGCCTGAGAGAGATAAAGGGCTTTACTCGGGTGCTATTCAAATTCAAATTCAGAATGCTATAAAAGATGATCAACTGCCATATAGAGCTCTCAAGATGTATTAATAGAAGTCATTATTGTCAAAATTGAAGTGGTCATGCAATATTTCATCTCTCTCTCATATCATTATGCAACATTTTCCAAAAAAACACTGATTTCCCTCAATCAGGTCTTCTAGTGTTCTTATGAAGGATGTGTAAGAAAGGTATTGCTAATCCAAGTCTAGCTCATTTCTACATTTTTAAAAGTCCATCAGGACAACAGGACTCCTCTCTCAATCTTCTTAACACTGGCCAAATCACTATTTTAGTTTCCCTCCTAAGTATTTTCTCTAAAGCATACATGACTATTGCTAGTCTTCAGACAGCACAAATCACCAAAAGACATTTCTTAGGTCCATTACTGTAAAAAGGGGAGTCATGAAAGGTGCATCCTGAAATAGACAAGAAGGACACAGACTCAATCACCTCCCAACATCTGTTTCCATGTAAATAACCTTATGTGTATAGACACTAGATTTCTATATATCAACTATCTATATCTGAATGAGAGTATATAAAAATTTAATTTATACTAAATGAGGGAAGACCAATTTCATTTGAAAAGGGTATGGCGTTCTAAAATACAGAAAACATCTGAACCTGGGGTGTACTAAAAATAGCTAGGAAGAATATTACTTTCACAAAGAGATAAAAAGAGATGGTTAACAGTTTATTAATTATATGTAATAACTTTAAAGAACATGTTTGAAAAGTGTTTTCTGTGAGAATGTTGGAATATATTTCAAATATGTGTACATATATAAATATATGTATTTAATTAATTATGTTTGTGTATATGTAATTTTTCCTACCAATAAGTCTTTATTGATAATCAAAAAAAAAAGAAATTCAGAATCACAGAAGTTCAAATTAAATGAGATTTCACTGTGAGTTACACACAAACTTAACAGTTCTAAAACCTTATGAAACTTTATTAAGTCCTCCCTTTTCAAATATATAATAATAAAGATCAGCATTTCTTAAACTTGATTCAAACCTAAAACAGAGGGCAGTTACTTACAGCAACTATCTTGTCATTCACTTGAATGTGGCCATTGTGGTAGGCAGCACTGCCAGGTATTAAACTTTTCACATAGATACCTGCAGCTTCCCCTAAGGGTGCACAGACATAGGGGAAAAGGAAGAAAGCTCTAATTAGGTCCTGATTGCAAAATTTATGTCAAGAGATTAATTAGCTAAAGAGACTGACTGAAGGCTTGATAAATACTATTTTGAACACAAGCACAAGAAAATGATGGATTATTTCAAACTGTCACCATCACAGGTGACCTGAATTTGAAATGATGTGACTGATGACTACTGTTTTGGAAAAATAATCAGTAATGGGACCTTGATGAAAGGCACTCCAATCTAAGCTGAAATTCAGGTTAACGCTGACCCTCTCTCTTGGTCTATCTCCAGTCTCACTGCTGACTTGGCATAAGCCTTCATTATTTTTCACTAGCACCGTGACAGACAAGTATCTCCTAACAGGTCTTCCTGCTTCCAATTAGTTCAGGGCTCTCGTTTGAGCCCCACAGAAAAAAGAAACATACACAAGGTCTCAAAAGAAAACTAGAGGCTGGCGCTGCAGCTCACTAGGCTAATCCTCCACCTTGCGGTGCCGGCACACCGGGTTCTAGTCCTGGTCAGGGCACCGGATTCTGTCCCGGTTGCCCCTCTTCCAGGCCAGCTCTCTGCTGTGACCAGGGAGTGCAGTGGAGGATGGCCCAAGTCCTTGGGCCCTGCACCCCATGGGAGACCAGGATAAGTACCTGGCTCCTGCCATAGGATCAGCGCGGTGTGCCGGTCGCAGCGCGCCAGCTGGGCCAGCCATTGGAGGGTGAAACAACGGCAAAGGAAGACCTTTCTCTCTGTCTCTCTCACTGTCCACTCTGCCTCTCAAAAAAAAAAAAAAAAAAAAAAAAAAAGAAAAAAGAAAAGTAGTGGACCTCCGGCAACACAAAATAGCCTTTAAACCAAATATACTATATATATATATATATATATATATATTATTATTTTTGACAGGCAGATTTAAACAGTGAGAGAAAGTTCTTCCTACCTGTTGGTTCACCCCCCAAATGGCCACTACAGCCGGCGTGCTACGCCAATCTGAAGCCAGGAGCCAGGTGCTTCCGCCTGGTCTCCCATGTGGGTGCAGGGCCCAGGCACTTGGGCCATCCTCCACTGTCTTCATGGGCCACAGCAGAGAGCTGGATTGGAAGAGGAGCAACCGGGACAGAATCGGCGCCCCAACCCAGGGTGCTGGCACCGCAGGCGGAGGATTAGCCTAGTGAGCCACGGTGCCAGCCATCTTTACACTATAAAACAAGACATTTAAGGAGAAACAAACAGCCATATAAAAATTTTAACTATACAAAAAGCATGCATTGGGGCTGGAGTTGTGGTATAGCAGGTAAAGCTGCAGCCTGCAGCACCGGCATCCCATATGGGCTCAGGTTCGAGTTACTCCACTTCTGATTCAGCTCTCTGCTAATGCACCTGGGAAAGCAGTGGAGGATGACCCAAGAACTTGGGCCCCTGCACTCAAGTGAGAGACCCTGACAGAGTTCCAGGCTCATGCCTTCGGCCTGGTCCAGCCCTGGTCATTGCATGCCATTTGGGGAGTGAACCAGCAGATGGAAGACCTCTCTCCCTCTGTCTCCTCCTCTCTCTGTAACTCTGCCTTTCAAATAAGTAAGTAAATATTTTTTAAACATTACACTAAAAGAAAAAGCATGCATTCCTTTGGACAAGACAGTTGTAGGGAAACACAAAGTAAAAAAACCATAGTTCTGGATGATTTTGTATTTTTCTTTCATTAATTTCATATGAACTCAAAATATTACTTGTAGAGGAAAAATAATAAGCAATGTGTTCCTATTGAACTTCCATAGAATCACATTCAAGGCCTCCTGTAATCTACTTCAAACTTATTTTTCAACTTCATCTTCTACCACATAACTCCACCAAGATAAATGCTTGGCATTTTCATGACTTCATTCTTCCTCTCATTCAAGTCTTTCTACCTGTCAATCTCTTCTATCGTTCTTTTTTATTTTACTAATATAAATACCCTTTATATAAATAAAAAACTTTTTAAAAAGGAAACAGAACAGATTCCATGTATTTCATAGACAGAAGTCTAAGACAACAATACTTCCCTGTATCATTCTGAAGTCAAATCCTTCCTTTTTTGTGAGTGCTCCAATTCTCTGTCAAATTGGATCCTCCATTTGCCATCCTATAATAGTTTGCTCACATCTCTGCTAACATAACTCTTTCATTTATCCTTAAATAGGTAAGAGCTGGTTACATATTATCTCCTGGAATAGATTTTCTTATTCTACTTGCCCCTACAGAACTAAGCATAGTAACTCCTCAAAAGTCCAATGAGTAGAATAAAAATTACTTTGAACAATCACATGTTGTCTCTCCAGTTACAGCGCTGGGTGTTTGAGTCCTACCTCCAATCCTGACTTAAGCTTCCTTCTATGTCAGACCCTGGGAGGCAGCAGTAATGGTTCAAATGATTGGGTTCCTGCCCTCCATGTGGGAAACCTGGCTTTGAACCAGCCCAGGCTCAACTACTGTAGATGTTTGGGGAATGTACCAGCAGATGGGAGCTCTCTCTAGCTGCCTCTCAAATAAATACTTCTTGTTAAATGTGAAAAAACAAAATATGTTGAATTTTAAGATGTTCTAGTTTTTTAATTCACCTGCCCTTCTCAAACCATCCAATCTCAAAAACTTCCTTTGATGTTATAGAAGTAAAATGGTGTTTTTTATTTATAAAGTAACATAAATATCAGATTTTCTCAATTTTTGATCATTCACTTTAAGAATTAAACTTTAAGTTTAGAAACTAAGTCATTCTCATTAACCAAACTCACTATGTTTTTTTGTGATAATATTATACAATTCATATTTAGTTCATTCGGGACTCATTTAAATTCTGAATCTAAAAAAAGATGGCACTTAGAAAAATCTAAAGGTTTGAAAAGAGACATTTCATTAGGCTAAAATAGCACAAGGTGGCCTGACATGAATTTCACATAGGACTTTGAATATATTAGCACTCTTAATTTTTCCACCTGCTATATATATGCAAGATAATTTTTTAAAGAAATTAACTCTCTGATCTTGTTACTTTTTCAGAAAAACCAAAACATTTTATCTCTCTGAAGTTCCATGTTACTAGTTTGTAAAGAAGTTTACTTTTTTACCCTAATAACTATCTTGTAATAAAACAATACCTCTTACACTGTTATCAAGCTCTGCAGGTAAGGGTTGAGGGAGCTTGATTCAGAGATACTCAATTCACATACCTGCATTTATTCTCATAGTGTATTTCGTTTATATGAAAGGAAAATAACTCTACTGAAATATTTGTTTTATCTTAGTTTTTTAATGACTAAACATAAGGTTAACAATCTTTAGACTTGTAAATGAAATTCATAATCAATTCACTTTCTCACCAACTTAATATACCATAATATGTTAACAGTCACAATATTCAAAATATATCTCTTAGAAATAATAGGAGGTGCAATTCAAATGCTGTACACTGAGCTGCACAATTAGATTCTTTGGTTAATGACTATTGAGCCAGCTATAAAACTATTGAGATAAAATGTGATTCCCTAATCACTGAAAAGTAACTGGCTACTATTAGATTCACGGTTTTATTGTTCGGGTTTAAATTAAAATCTGTAAGTATTTAATTTTACTGTCCAGAAACCTTAACATCCTTCACAATTATTTCCAAATATCTCATAGAAATGATTCGTTTACCTGAATGAGATGTTCCAACATAGCCAACAATTCTAATCCCAAGACTCTGTCCATCTTTCTTAACAAGTTCAACATTGTATGTTTCAAAAGGAGAATTGTCCTAAAAGGAAAAAAAAAAAAAAACAAATATAATTTGTTTAGTTACATAATTATGTCTACATAGTCAATTTGTACAAAGTTTGCCAAGTATTTTCTTAGCAAATGTGGCAGGTAAAATTTTAAGATGCTTCCCAAGATCTTCAATCACTAGTGCTATTCCCATGTTTATACTATACTACCTGCCAGAAGGGAGATTACCCAGGTAGCCCTAATCTAATCAGATGAGTCTGTAAAAGCAGAGTTTTCTCCTGCTAGTAGCAAAAAGGAAAGCAAGAAAGATTTGAAGCAGAAGGACTCAACCTGTGGTATGAAAATAGAGGGGGCTGTGTGAGAAGCAATGCAGGGGCCTCATGGTACTAAAAGAGGTCTTTGTCGAAAGCTAGCACAGAAAAAGGGACCTCGGTCTTATGGCTGCGAGGAATTGTGATCTTTCAACAGTCTTAGGTTGGAGATGGGTATGGTCCAGGAAAGAACACAATAAAGCCAGCACTTTGATTTAGCCTTCTGAGAATCCAAGCAGAGAGCCCAGTCCATCCAGGCCTAACTAAATCTGACACCACTGAACTGCACACTAACAAAGGGTGTCATGCTCTTCTGCCAACCTGGTGGGAATTTGCTGTCTAAACTAGAAAACTAACAAATCCACTTAGAAAAAAACTCAAGATACATTTGTATCTGAAGGAATTACAAGCATTAGGAAAAATTCAGAAACAAAATGTAATGTATAATATGATAATGTTGAGCTAAATATTTCTTTTTAATACCTGTCTTCCAAACATTTCCGTAAAGGAGTAAGGTAACTAAACATAATACTTTCTTTCAATTCAAAACATTAATATTAGAAAATAAATAGCTGACTAAACCAAATTCCCAATATCACACAGTTATAATGGTCCCTCAGTACAAAGTAGAAGACTCCAAGAACTACAGAGAGGGAGCACAACGAACATGGTGGTAACTACAATTTGGAAAAACTTAAAAACTTCTAAAAGGTTCTAATATCTCAGTGAGAAAAGTTCCACTCGTACAATTCCCAGTAGGGAAAGGCAACAACTTTCCAGAAGAGACACAGCAATGAATCAGATGACAGTGATGAGTGGCTTTCCATCCCTTTCTACCATAATCACTTTTTTCTTTCCTCTTCTTCTGGTCCCTTCCTTTTGAAAACTATTTCTTTGCTTTTGCCTTATTGCATCTTCATTCAGAGTCTGTGAGATAGTACGGGAAGGTTTGGAACATACCAGAAAGATATGAATTCAAATTGCAGCTCTGCAACATAGTTCCTAGTAGGCTTTTAACCAATTATTTGCTTTTAGTTTCTGCGTCCATTAAATGGGCAATAACATCTTTCTGGCAGAATTACCAGGAGGATTTCCCACGACCTGGACAATTCCAGTTGTTAATAATGAGTAACAAGGCCGGCACCGCGGCTCAGTAGGCTAATCCTATGCCTTGCGGCGCCGGCACCCCAGGTTCTAGTCCCGGTTGTCCCTCTTCCAGGCCAGCTCTCTGCTGTGGCCAGGGAGTGCAGTGGAGGATGGCCCAAGTGCTTGGGCCCTGCACCCCATGGGAGACCAGGAGGAAGCACCTGGCTCCTGCCATCGGATCAGCACAGTGTGCCGGCCACGGCGGCCATTGGAGGGTGAACCAACGGCAAAGGAAGACCTTTCTCTCTGTCTCTATCTCTCACTGTCCACTCTGCCTGTCAAAAAAAAAAAAAAAAAAAAAAAACTAACAAGCATGACTATTATATCACTACAATAATAACTACTTGTTAATAACAATATTATTATTGGCCGGCGCCGTGGCTCAATAGGCTAATCCTCTGCCTTGCGGTGCTGGCACACCGGGTTCTAGTCCTGGTCAGGGTGCCGGAAAAAAAATATATTATTATTAATATTTATCCTCTTTAGCTCATTTGTTTCTATTAGGAATAATTCACATACACTGACCAGTATTTACATTTTCTGCTCTCCATCTAGATATCTTCTTGCCCACCTAATGAAACAGACCAGACCAGTATTATTCTTCTTCAATTTAGAAATGAGTAGCTGAGGCTAAATGACTTAACCCAGAGAAACTACAAAAGAGAAAAACATATCTGGTACCTCCAAACTGGGTTCTCCTCTGCTTCACTGGTAAGCAATGAGACACTAAACAAATGTCATGTTTTGATTGAAAGGGTTTCTTCTCTCATAGTGTATTGTATCTAGTATTTGATTTAAGAAGAAAGGATAATTTGCATACTCACAGAACCAGGGCTCGTGTTGGCTGCAGCAGGCAGAGCAACAGGTAAGGCTGTAGGGGCAGGAGGGGTCACTGAAACTTCACCAACTGGGTCTCTTGCCACAAGCATCCTGACTGAATTCCCACAGTTTCTTAGCACTTGTGCAACCTGCTCACTGGTCATTCCCTGCACGTTTGTGCCACCAATCTTCAAGATATGATCCCCTGTCTGGAGTCTTCCATCCTTTAATCCAAGAAAATAACAAAATTATTCTGAGAAATCAATGATATACCTCACTAGGTAATACTAATTCATCACACTTTCAGTTCTGGCAAAATGACCAAGCCACATGAAATGCTGAATTAATTTTTTTTTAATTTTTAAATACTTGTTTTTATTCATTTGAAAGACAGAGTGACAGAGAAATGGAAAGAGAGATAGAGAGAGACAAACTGACTTAGTTCCCATCCCCTAGTTCACACCCCACAATTGCTAGAACTCCACCAGGCTGAAGTCACAGCTAGGAACTCCATCCAGATCTCCCACAAGGGTGGTAGGGGCCCAAGTGCTTAGACCATCATCTGTTGCTTTCCCAGGCATATTAACAGGGAACTGGATCAGAAGTGGAGCATCTGTGACTCAAATTGGCTCTCAATATATGATGCTAGCATTCACAGTGGCGGATTAACTCAATGTTCCACAACATTGGGCCCCTGAATTAAATTATTTGTACTGAAAGGTCAAATTTACAAAAGAATAAAAGAATTTCTTGTAGAACACAAATAACAGAGGAGTTCAAAATTTTAAAAGTCATCAGATATATAAAATGGGTCTTTGCTTGAAGATATTAATCCAAACCTAATAGCCTAGAGCCAGGGTATTAACGAACATGCATGTAAGAAGAGATCAGAAGGCCCTAGGCTTCTGAACAAGGGAAGGAGGACAGAACAGATGCCTGTAGTATAAAGCAGGAACCCTAAAGGCCAACAAGCTCAGTGGCACAGTGGAGGAACAGAAAAATGCCAGTGTGGCTAGAAGACAATGAGGAAAGAGGAGAGTACTCCAGGAGATGAGAGAGTTAATAGTCTGATAGAACAGGGAATTTTCTCTGCATGATTGGTGAGGGAAGTCAGTGGAGGGTTTAGAACACTATATAGAACATTGTAAGTTCTAAGTTTTAATAATGGCATGCAAGCTTCTGTGTTTAAAATAGACTATAGGAAAGGAAACAACAGAAGCAGAAAAACCAGTTGCGAGGCATTAGCAATAATCTAGAAAAACATCATAATAACTTGGACTAGGTTACCTACTGGGGCATTGAGAAGCAAGATTCCAGATGTAGTTTTAATGAATTGTCAATAGGATCTAAAGATAGCTTCCACAGGGCGTGTGTGTGTGAAGAGGAAATAAAGGAAACAGAACTCCAAGTTTATCCTGAGAAACTGGGAAGATGGAGTTGCCATGAACAAAGACAAAGACTACAGAGGAACAGGAGAGTCGGAAGGGAAATCATGAGTTCAGTTTGAGAGATACTCATTCTGAGACGCCTATTCAACATTCTAGTGGAGATATCGGGTAGTGTACAGGGGAAAAGTCAGACCACATATTTAAATTTGGAAGTAATTAGCATTGAAGTGGTATTTTTTTTTTATTTTTATTTTTTATTTTTTGACAGGCAGAGCGGACAGTGAGACAGACAGAGAGAAAGGTCTTCCTTTGCCGTTGGTTCACCCTCCAATGGCCGCTGCGGCTGGCATGCTGCGGCAGGCGCACCGCGCTGATCCGAAGGCAGAAGCCAGGTGCTTCTCCCAGTCTCCCATGGGGTGCAGGGCCCAAGCACTTGGGCCATCCTCCACTGTACTCCCTGGCCACAGCAGAGAGCTGGCCTGGAAGAGGGGCAACTGGGACAGAATCTGGCGCCCTGACGGGGACTAGAACCCATTGTACTGGCGCCGCTAGGGGGAGGATTAGCCTAGTGAGCTGCGCGGCGCTGGCCTGAAGTGGTATTTAAAGTCAGGATTTTGGAGAAAGGATTTGAGAAAGAATATGTAATGTTCTATTGCTTCAGCAATATATATATATATATATATATATATATATATATATAAAATATATTATATATATAAAAATCTGTTTAAATGTATATAAATTTCCTACCTAGAAAAGTTTTAAGACATATTTATCAAAATATATGTGGACACCTCAAAAAGCTTGTGAAAAATAGCATTAGAAGATGAGTTTATTTTGGTGCCAAAAAACACTAAAGTTTGAAATCCTTGCATAACTTATTTCTTTAAAGATTTATTTATTTGTAAGACAAAGTTACAAAGAAAAGTACACACACACACACACACACACACACACGTCTTCTATCTGTTGGTTTGTTCCCCAAATAGCCACAACAGCTGGAGCTGAATGGATCCAAAATCAGGAGCCAGGAGTTTCTTCTGGGTCTCCCACATGGGTGAAGGGGCCCAAGGACTTGGGCCATCCTCCACTGCTTTCCCAGGTGCTTTAGTGGGGAGTGGGATTGTAAGTGAAGGGGCCGGGACTCGAACCGGCGGCCTGTATGGGATGCCAGCACTGTGGGCTGGGGCTTTAACCTGCTGCGCCACAGCTCCGGCCCCCATGCATAACTCTTTTAACACCCATTTTCCATGAATACTTTGAAGATCCCTCAAGATTTTTTTTGTGCCAAAACAACTGATCTCTTAATTCCATTTCCTATGAACTTTCTGAAGTATCCTTATATATCAATTTTAAATGTTTATAATTTCCTTTGTTCATTTGTGAAACTTTTTAAACAGCTGATCCATCTGCATGCTTATTATATTTGTTCTGTCAGAAATTTTGAATTCTCCTTATCATTATTATAATATATGAACACATCTGGTTAGGAAAGATTACCCTTGTCAAGCACCTTTCAGATTATTATTATTTTTTAAAGATTATTTTTTATTCATTTGAAAGTCAGAGTAACAGAGAGAGAGAGAGAGAGAGATCAATTTTGCATCTGCCAGTTCACTCCCCAGATGGCTATTCAACAGCAAGGGCTGGGCCTGTCTGAAGCCAGGAGCCAGGAGCTTCTTCCAGATCTCCCTTGTGGGTGCAGGGGCCCAAGGCATTGGGCCATCTTCCACTGCTTTTCCTAGGCGGTTAGCAGGGAGCTGGATCAGAAGTGGAGCAGTCAGGACACGAACCAGCGCCCATATGGGATGCTGGCATCGCAGGTGGTGGCTTTACTTGCTACAGCACAACACTGGCCTCACCTTTCAGGTTAAAAATCACCTACACATATCATTCAGAAAAGGACAACTTCAAAATAGGAAAACAAAGATTCAAAAAGATTCACCCACTTGACCAAGGTCACAAAGCTATTGAGTGGCATACCCAAAGTCCAATCCAAGGTGCACATTGATGTTTCTTCTCATCTAGTCATTTGCCTTATATTTTGATAACTCCAGAGTAAAATTGCTGTAACAAGCTGTTCTCTTATAATACAAGAGCTGCTAATAAAATGACTGCTATCCTATTCTTCAAGAAATTACCTACATAATAGTACAAAATTTTAAATAATAAGATAAACAGATATTTTGCAACTGAGCAAGGTAGATAATTAGCTTGAGAACAGAGAAATGAGCATTGGGTTAATTTACTTCTAAGCTTCATATTCCTGGTGCTAGATGCTGTTACCTATAAGTTAGAGATAAAATTCTCAAGGGAAAAATTTCAAAAAGGCTTAACACTGAAAAATCTATTCCCCATCTTTCCTTTTCTCCCATTTTGCAAGAAGGAAGGTCTTACAAAGCTTTGTTCTTTAGTATAAACACAACAGAAAGTGTTAGAAATGACTGGAAGTAGAGAGAAGCAGTGTAGTAGAAATGCAATTCAATTCAGAAACATTTGGAAATATTTAGAGAAAGGAAAAAGATGCAATAATCAAGTTAGTATGGAAAACAGAATTAAACATTTCCTGTATTTCTACTTCAATAATGGTAATTTTGTATTCTATTTTCATACATGTAACAGACTTGAAATAAAATAAGCAACTACTTAAGAGAAAGACAGTGGTCCAGATGAAAAATAAAAGTGAAGCTGACTATGGAAATCAAATTATTCTTGAACAGAATTATGGCCTGATAAAAAAATAAAGACTAGGAATAATGAGTGTTTTCATACTTGGCTTGACTAACAAAAGTCATTTCATCATGAAGTATATATTTAGTCACTTCTTAGGCACTATTTTTTTTTCCTATTTTACCTCAACTCTTAATTCAAAATGATGTAGATAATTTGCATCTGTCACTGAAAGTCAAACATTTTCTTCTTACAGAAAAACAGGTGTTCTAAGGAATGTGTAAGTACAAAAATAGTCTTTAGTCAAATTGATAGGAAAGACACCAAAATGACAGCTACCTTGTCTAAGTCCAGAAGCCCCAAACACTGCATTTTACTGATACTTTCTGATCAACATTCTCCTTCCATAGCCTGTCTACTATGCAAGGAAATTAAAAAAGATAAAGTTCCTTCTGTTCTGTAACAGAAATCATGAATCAATGAAAGCCAAAAAATAGCTATGCTAAGATTCAAGCACATAGCATAATAATCAAACACTCAAATATAAAAGTGTATTTATTAATGGGGTGGGCAGCAGTTAAGATACATCTGGGTTCAAGTTGTGGCTCTACTTCTGATCCAGTTCCCTAATAATGCTCATCCTGGGAGGCAGCTGATAAAAGCTCTAGTACTTGGGTCCTTGCCACCATGTGGGAGACGCTCACTAGGTTTTGGGCTCCAGGTTTAATCCTGGCCCAACCCTGGCTTTTGTGGGCATTTGGGGAATGAACCAAGGGATGGGCTATCTCTCTCTTTGACTTTCAAATAAATAAAATGAAAAAAAATTAACTACTACATTTTAATTGAACATAATATTCTTTTTAATATTGTTAAAGCTATGTTCAGGCCACATGAACAACAACAGGCAAAGACTTAGCAACAATGCAGAGTTAGTTAAGAAGGACTCAGCTAGGAACAACTCAACTCCTACAATGGAAAGGAAAAGGACAGTGAACTAACAGGCATTATACTAAACACTTTACATTGGCTAACATGGAAGATATTTCATACGTGTTTTCATAATTTACTATAGAAAGATTTCAGTGTGACTCTACTGTGTAAGGATTCTTGGAAACTTACTCATGATTTCCTCCAGATTTCACCTCCTACCCTTTTCTGTTGCTCAT